GTCCAACTACGTAAATGCAGTTTTTCTCCAAAGCAGGTTTACCCTTCCAGAAGAAGGCATAGCCGGACCCCCATTCTATGAGTCGACCCTCGTCTGGGAGCCGGGACTCACTAATGGCTGCTATGTCGACGTTAAACCTGACAGCTCTTTTGCCACAAGGGCAGTTCTTCTTTCAGGATGCTCATTTGTGCCAGTATCCAGACATTCCATGCAGCGACCATAAGAGGTTGTATAGTTTGTTTTTGCTTTGACCTGTGATCTTGATTGTGTTTTCGACCCCATAAGGATGACCTTACTGGGTGGGTTGCCCAGTCAGGTTGGTTCTTTAGGCAGGCTATGTTGAGTGCACCTTTACTAGCCCCTCCCTATGTGGGTTGAGCAGAGTGGCTCCTCGAAAGGGCTGCTCAGTTGTACAGACAGCACCGGATTGCACTGCTGCCTCGATCCCAATGCATATACGACCATCTTATCTGTGCCGCCCATGTGCAGAGTTGTGACTAGTGACTCCTGGCAGTCATCTCTGTCTGTCCTCGTCGCCACTCGTCCGTCGCCATAGGACTTGTGGGGGTATAGGGGTTTTGACGATAGTCAGAGGTATGATGAGCTGGATGATGGCTGTGTATGAGTCGATTTATGTGGTGAGGCAGGAGCACAGGCTGCAACCACACATCTTGGATCTCCCTTTTCCTGATTCAGTGGTGCAAGTAGTTGCAAAGACTGGGGAAAAGGGAGAGTTGCAATGGACTGCCGATAGCCCAGTTTGTTGGGTTTCGCCTTAGTAGCCTCTCCATCAGGCATTGCTTTCGTCTGACGGTGTAGTCGTTGGGTTCCCATGGTGGTCACCTCTTCCGCCTTTGCCACCGTTGGGGGACTTACTGGAGCTCTGTAAGCATGTCTGCCTCATGCGGGGCTCCACTGCAGATTTTTAATTTTGGTTTTACTTCCGTAGCCTTATACCTACCAAGGTTAATCAGCAAAGACGCCAGGACATGTTCACATGCTAGTGAGCCTATGCGCTGTTCCTTTGCGGCCCACTCCTTCTTGTTATCCCTGCTGGTCTAGCCTGGAGCCGTGAGGCACCCAGTTATCACGTGTTGCCATGAGGAGGCACAGCAGGACTCTTTTTGGTGAAGAGGCTGTGTACTGGCAGGGCAAGACTCATATAAGTTCCTTCCCTGCTTACCACAAAGGCTAGCCCCAGGCGGTAGCTGAAAGTGAGAGGAAGCAAGCAGTGCTTGTACCTTAACACTAACAAAATGCTGCCACAAAAGATGCATTACACCACCCTGTGTACACACACACACACACACACACACACACACACACACATCTCTTCCCCTTATTACACTGCGGTTTTAATTCAAAGAGTTTTACTGGTCTGACATAGAAAATAAAACTAAGGAATTAATTTGTTTACTACAATTATCCAAAATCCCTAGACAAGAGTCAATAAAATCCAGAATTCAGGTTGAACCTTTTTGTCCATTAACAAAGTTGAAAATAATTATTGGTAAAAGGTAATTCGGATATGGATGGTAGGAAGGAAAGGGGAAGACTATGAAGGAGAAGGAAGGAAGGAAGGAAGGAAGGGGTGATGGTGTTTCTAGAAGTGATTATGAAGGACACTTATGGAAGTAATGGCGAAGGAAGTACGAGAAGGGCGGATAAAGAATGTCCAAGAAGCAGCAATGAACATAAATGAGAGGAGATCATGGCATCGAGAGGTCTGTGGGGATGTCATAGCAGTTTGAATGAAAGGATGAAGATTAGTGACCGTGTGTTGTTCTTAATTTCTGTCATCTTGCAGCATAATAGGAAAAGACTTAAAAGTGTGAAAAAAGAACAAATCATTAGTAAACTAGTGGCCATTTACCAGATATATATGACAAAGAAGATACTGGGGATAGTGAGGGCGACCTGCAGCATCTGCCAGTCCCTCACCAGGTAGGCTACCCCGGGCAGCACCATGTAACCCACTGCCCAGGGAATAGCGTAGAGCGATCCAATTATTGATCGGTGTTTTGGTGAGCAAATTTCGAGACCTGTAAATGGAATTATTGAAGAAATTTTCATTAGACCAGCCTATGAAGACAAAGATGAAAATGAAGGTTAATATTTTAGTCGTGCAGGTTAGAGTTGCATTTCAGTGAATAGGGATAGATTAAATAAAAAAAAATCACAGATATCAGTATGTCGTACACTTTCAGGTTTGGCAAGGAAATTTGTGAAAATCATGGTTCCAGGGAAAATATGAATATGAAACTGATGAATGTAATTTAAATGTATCATTCTACCAAATAATATCAGTGGAAACACATGTTGTATTCAATGAGTGTATGTTGAACACTGTCCGCAGTGTGGAAGCTCTCGACACGAATCCGTACACTGACTACCACAAGTCAATCAATGCTCATTCATGATCCGATGACCTCTTCAGGTGTCCTAACTTGAATAGGGAGGCTGATATGGGTACTGTATCTTTTTCTGTCATGAGAATCAGCCATACCCACCATGTTTCTGATAGAACTAAACTTTGTCTGGGAAAGAAATCTGACCTGTTGACATGCCTGGTGAAAAAACTACGATAGAGCCATCTAGCTCTTTTGACATGAAAGTACTGTACTTGATTGTGCCGCTGTGGTGCACCTCTTCTCTACAAGCTGCATCAGAATATTTGGAGACTATTTTAGGCCAATGGCGTCTTTCAGTTCAACATGCAGCAGCTAAAGGAAGCCAAGAGACTGAATGTTATGTGGGATACATACCTCAAAACTGAACAAAATTGTCTACAAGAGACAGAGGAGGGAAAGGTAAAAAGAGAAAGGGTGCCATTCAAAACAAAATTCCAGTAAAGTGGCAAGTTTTCTTACGTGATTCAGATAACAAGCAGAAACTATTTGCATTTTTGTCTGACAAGACTGGAAACAGTAAATTCACCCTCAGAAGGCAGTTGTTATCACACCTGAATAAAGTGTTACAGTCAGAGGAACCAACCACTGTATGCATATGGGAGTGGCCTTCTCTGAGCAGTTAAGTGCGTAGATCAACAACTACGGAATTCAAGAGGTTAGTGCAAATATGTAGCCTGATGAGGAGTCGAATGAACCACACACCAGGGAACAAACAAGCTTAATCAAGAATCTTGCATAATTTATGAGGGATGGAATTATTCTAACCTCTAGTAGTAGAAATCACTGGAGACTGGGGAAAGTAATTCGTTCGATAAAGCTTCTATATCCACTGGATGAATCTGTGGAGTGTAATAATGAAGCTCAGGATGAACTCAGTGATGTTGTACAAACAAAGGCAACAGATATGCTTTCCTTAAGTTTAGCTGTAATGACTACCAAAAGAAAGGCTGCCGAACGTTGCAAGGGTTGACTCAGGAAAGTAAGTCATAATGACTAAGATCCCCAATAATGTAGGAATTAACCGCCTGTATTCAATAGGAATACAGTCTTCCCTACAGCCCCCACAATATTGCGAAAAGTAAAGTGATACAGTAATATCCCCATAAGCCGGAATCCCTCAAACATATAACTCTCCGACAGCCGGAATTTAAATTGCCTTGTAAAATTATCCCCAAAGCTGGAATTTTCCGGAAAATTCCGGCTTTGGGAACGAATTTCTGAGGGGCAAGAAAATTTTCCTGATACTGGAAAATTCCAGGGATAGGGGAATTTTTTCCATTTTTGAGAGATGAAAATCAGAAGCATTTTACCAGAAATTCAGAAAAAAATTTCCCATTCCCAGAA